AGGAGTTATAGCAACATCGTCTTTTATGGCGAGGGATGCGTTTCCATGGAAACGGCATATGATAACACCCCATAATTGACGTAGAGCTGTTGAGGGCTGAACCGTTAACCATTATCTGAAGTCTGGTGCTGTTTTTACCCTTTTCATAGGCGTTACGACAACATCGTGTTTTATGGCGAGGGATGCGTTTCCATGGAAACGGCATATGGTGAGATGTCAGATTTGATGTAGAGCTGTTTAGGCATGGAGAGGTGATATACAGGTGAAGATTGTGGGACGACCGGACCGTGTCCATTGGAGCTACAGCGACATCGTGTTTTATGGCGAGGGATGCGTTCCATGGAAACGGCATATGAAGACACCCCATAATTGACGTAGAGCTGTTGAGGGCAGGACCATTAACCATTATCTGAAGTCTGCTGCTCTGAGCATGTCAGTTGGAGTTATGACATCATCGTGTTCACGATCACACAGGTGTTTATATTTGAGCTAACGATGTGTCCAGAGATCAAAGGTTTCCATGGTGAGAGGAGAGCATTTTCTGAATGAGAGATAAACCTCTTACATGTGAACGTTTTGTTGAAGAACCGTAACAGATATCGGTGAAATTTCAAAGCCTGAAGCATGTCAAGGAACTTGAGCATCTGAAGTGTACTTTTTGTGTACTTTTGGGTTAATAATGTGGCCTTTTTGGCCGATTAACTAAAGGTGTGCGGCTGCTATGGTGCGGAAAGATGAGGCTGAACTTACAATGGGGTTTAATGGAGACATGTTGAAAGTTTTATAAAGAATTTTGTGCGTAGCATAACAGATTGTTGGAATGCTGTTTCAACTAAATTACCTTGTGTGCTGCAGGGTAGTCTTATTGAAGTGTTGATTACATTTCATCCCACTACAGAATTGTAGTTGGGTAGAAGTAAAACTCCCTCAAAATTATGCTTGAGTACAGTACTTAAGTAAATTCACTGAGTAACTTAACATTAGTGTTAATCCCACAGAGTTCTGCAGTCTGCTGTGATATGAAGTGACGACGTGCTGAGAGTGTGAAACAGGAAGACTTGGACAACTTCCTTTAAAATGTGATGGATCCTACTCAAAGGCCAAATGGACCAATCCAGAGACAGGATGCTTGTGTCAGTGACCTGCCCATGCCTCTGATTGCTGATGATGATATTTACGAGTATGTTGAAGAAAATCCGTATGAGAGCACCTTGAGTGGGCTCATCATACCCCCAACCGAATCCCAGCCCAAACCTCCATGCCCTCCCAGGGGGCAGGGGGCAGGAGGGCCGGGGGATACGGACCGCCCAAACATAAATGGACCTCCCCCAGTCACTCGCCCTCTCCGTCCCCCTCCCCCTCCCCCTCCCCCCAGACCCAGGTTTCCTAGTGCATGTTTGCCAGTCAGACAAGTCCGTGCACCACCCCCTCCTGTCCCCCAAAGGATAAACGTACCCCTCGGCAAAATCAAAAAGCAGAGCTGTGATGAATACACTGCCCCCCCTCAAAAGCTGAATCGTTCCAGGACGGAAATAGACAATCATGTGAGTATCTCTCAAATACAAAATGTGTGATTGAATTAAATGACCCACATTTAAATTGAAAGGATCAAAGATGAGGTCTAAGTGTGCAATTTGTCTTTTTTCCACATCAGGATCCATGGGCCATCAAAGTAACGGACACCCCAGAGGGCAGCACCAAGACCCTGGCCTCTTTTAGTGCAGCAACTTCCAAGTGAGAGAGTGCATGACAAGTAGTTCCTACATTTTTACAGTAGTTTACTTTTTGGTATGTAAATGGGAGAAAAAAAAAATACACGGTAATTGAATTTGAAAAGTTTTATTTAAAATGACACACA